CAAATACGAAAAGAGTGTCGCAAAGCTAAAGAACAGTGGCTGCTAGACAGGTATGCAAAAATGGAGGAATTGGAAGAAAAACGTGACCACTTTATACATAAACTCGTTAAAGAAGTGACAGGTCATACAAAACCTTGCAGTTTTAACAGTATTGTGAAGGACAATAAATTAATTACTGATCCCAAAGATCTACTTCAACATTGGAGAAACTACACAAAGCAACTATGCTTAGTCAACACTAGAAGAACCCTCCCCCAAAATATTGAAGTCAGAAGTTGTAAGGGCAATCAAACAGAGCAAATGGGGAAAAGCACCAGGCCCAGGCGATATATACATAGAGGTTCTGACAATGTTGAGTGAAGACAATATAGAGGCCTTGGTAGATCTTTTTAATGACATTTATGGGTCCGTTTAAATACCACAGGATTGGCTTCAATCAACTTTTATTCCAATCCCAAAAAAGCCAAACGCTAATAGTTGCGACCAAATTGCGAATGATCAGCTTATTGAGCCAGGTCCTAAAACTCTTCATAAAGATAATTCACACAAGAATATACAACAGATGTGAAAGACACATTAGCTCCACACAGTTCGGTTTCAGACAAGGATGGGTACAAGAGAAGCACTTTTTAGCTTAACTGTCCTACTTCAGAAATGCAGAGATCAGCAAAAAGATGTCTTCCTATGCTTTATAGATTACCAGAAAGCGTTCGATTGTGTAAATCATTCAGAATTAGTAAGATTGCTGCAGGAACGTTCGATAGATGAGAATGACCTTAAAATCATAAAGAACCTTTATATGAATCAAGTGGTATCTGTGAGAGCAGGACTGGAATCATATTTCTCAATCGAAAAAAAAAGTTGTATGACAGGGTTGTATTCTGTCACCCCTCCTTTTTAATCTTTACTCTGAAACGATTTTCGATAGAGCCTTAAGTGACACGAAGATGGAATCAAAATCAACGGACTATTAGTAATCTTCGCTATGCTGATGATACAGTGATAATAGCTGATAGCCTAGAAGCGCTACAACGACTAATAGATAGAATAAACACTGAAAGAGAACGACTGGGCTTGAAGATTAATATAGACAAGACGAAGGTAATGATGGTTAGTAGAACACGAAATATACAATTAAACATAAGAGTAACCAATAAGAAGATCCAAAAGGTCCCTAAGTTTAGATATCTTGGTAGTTGGATAACTGAAAATCTAGATCCAGACATAGAGATAAGTAGCAGGATTGAGCAAGGCAGAACATCATTTACTAATACGAGAACCTTGCTAAGCAACATCAGCCTTAACTTAACGCTTCAATATCGCTTTGTAAAATGTTACATTTACTCCATACTGCTATATGGTGTAGAAACCTGGACCATAAAGGCCAATGTGATGAACCGATTGGAGGCCCTTGAAAATGTGGGTATTTAGAGGACTACTTAAAATGCCCTGGACAGATCACACAACAAATGTCGAAGTATTAAATCGAATGGGCAGAGAACGAGAATTGCTGCCAATAATAGATTAGAGCCACACAAAATCGAGAGGAGTATGCCAGAATTGTCGCTAATATCCAGTGATTGGATAGGGCACCATAAGAAAAAGGTGCGGTTCCATCAATACATTTAAAGCTTTTAAGCATTTTACCTTTTAACGTTAGTTAATTAACGTTAGATATGACCAGTTTAAAGTCTTAAAATCATGTAGAAACGTCTTTAAAATTCGTATCTCAAATTCTTGTCCACGGTTCCTTTTAGCTCCTAGAGTGCAAATATAATTGTTGATTGGCAAAAGTATTCGAAGTTTAAAGAAAAATACTGGTCGAAATCTTATAAAGGTGCCTTGTAAATTATTTCTTAACGAAATAACTGTTGTGTATGTTATTTTAAAAACAACTTTTATTGGAATCTTTTCCGTTTTCTGTAATTGGTTTCGTCAAATTTAGTTACATTAAACATTTCTTAAACTTACGTATGCGAGAAAATACAAAAAACAGCCCTCGAACAATCTTAAAACAAATTTTATTATTGAAAAGAATAAAAAATACGACACGAAAACGGAAACCTACTGATTATCAACTTTGTAAACAAAATGATGATGTGAGTTTTTCCAAGTGATCGAAACTAGGGAATCGGAGTTACATCGCAAATTTCTTTTTGATTTCCGCGACTGCTATTGGCTCACTTCTATTCCCTTCTCTTTTTGTTTTGTTTTAAACTTTTTTTAACTTCAGCTTTTACGAAACCAAGAGATAAACGAAAACATCACATCTCATAAGAATTGCTGTAGAAAAAAGGGGTTCTACTGTAGTGTTCTTAACAAAGATTGTTAAACGATTATTGCGATAAATCTTGATTCGTTTTTGTTTGTAATTTCGCGTACTTTGTAAGATTCGCGGAATATAGGATAGAACGCCGAATATGGAGATCAAGCTACAACTGCCTTCTTTAAAGAACCTTTTTAACTTATACAGCAACTAAATTTGTGACATTTGAGCGTGGCCAGATGGTGTTATTATGAAGTGCAAAGTTCATTATTTTTAAATCTAATGTATATTTTGAGACAGAAAGAAGAGGAAATTTACTCAAATTTGCAGAAGATTTGTTCGCTTCAACGAAATATATAAATATTATATTTTAATTAGAGAGTAACTTGCGTTATATATATTATAAGGTTCTTGAACTCCCTAAGTGGAGCATAGAGCTTCAGTGAAAACGCGCCATCTGTTTCTGTTTTCCACTATGGCCTTCACCTCGTTCCAAGGCTTTCCTTAACCTCTTATCTCGTCCATGATGGATCTTTTTTAAGTTTGTACTGGGCGACCTCTTTTTCTTCTTCCTTGGGGATTCCAGTCTAAGACAATCTTTTCAATACTGGAATTATTTTTTCTTAGTGTGTGACCAATCCAACCCCACCCCACTTTCTGGACTTTATTTGATGTTCTTTTGTTCGGTCAGGTGTAGTAGATCTTGGCTTCTGATAATGTTAGGTCAGAAATACGAACAATTCGTCGTATACATTTATTAATAAAGACCTGCAGTTTATCTATAAGGGTTTTTGTCACTTTCCAGGTGTCACATCCGTAGAGTAGAACAGGCATGACATTTGACTGGAATATGCGGATCTTTGTCCTTGTAATATACTCGCCAGATCTCCAAACAGACTCCTTTTCGTATCCTCATATATAGTCCTCTGTACCTCCGCTTTCTGTTATGACTCTTCCAAGATACGTAAAGTTTTCCACATTTTCAATCTGCATGTTGTTGACATTAAATAGCGTGTTGTTCCTTGCATTTACTCGCATGGATTTGGTTTTACTAATATTGATTTTCAAACATACTTTATTGGTTTCAGTAAAAAGTGTTTCCAATTGATCTTGAGTTATGGATATCGTTTTTGTGTATGAAATGAGTAATTTATTTATCTGAAATGTTCATCTTATTAAAAAAAGTTAAATAGTTAGTGGATTCCTATCCGTGACCGCTTAACTGAAAACTGTGTCTGTAATTTCTGATTCAATGTATTTTGTTCCATAAATTTCCCGAGGGTGGTACTCTTGCTAGATTTTTATCTTTTTTTTTTTTAATTTGTTATAGGATTCTCTTTTTTTTACTTATAAAGCAGTATTTCACATTTGTTAAAACACCTTTGGTGCCTATAATAGTGCTTTTTATTCGGGGTTTTTATGGCGTGGTCAGAAATTATTTATTGCTTTCTGGCGTTTTATTGACAAAAATCATCAACCACTGCAAAAACTGACATAATGCGTGACTTTCTAGGGCGTACATTTATTTGTAGCCTTCGCGTGTCCCTTTTGTAGGCCGAAAATGCATTTTCCAAAGTCTCAAAGTGTTTAAAAAATTAAAATTCACAAAATTGACATCATCAAAATGAGTTACTTAAATTTTTATGCTCGGAAGTTTTTGAGGTCGTTGAACAGGAATATCGGGTTAGCGAAGCTGTAAGGTACCTGCGCCCGGTTAAGATTTCTGCAAATTTCCATAAAATTTCCGAAGTACACGTTGATACAGGGCACCAGGTCCCTCTTACATCTTCGCCAACCCGATTATCCTGTTCAGCGATCTTAAAAATCACCGAGTATGAAAATTGAACTCATTTCCATGATTATTTTCAGAGTTGTGAATTTTTATTTTTTGAACACTTTGGGATGCACTTTGGAAAACGCATTTTCCGCCTACAACTATGCAATTTTGATCTGTCTCTCATTTCAAGTGTTCACGAAGTTTTCTGAAGCTCTCCCGAATCGAGTGCAAAAGGTTTCATATCGATCCGTCTTACTTTAAACAAGTTAAAAGTGTAATGCTTTATTTTCTCACGTAATATGTCGGTTAATCCAATTAGTACCATCACAAACAGAATCCTACAGTCTCACAGACTAATTGAAATGAAACATATTTGTAGTTTAAAAAAATGTGATAGAATAATTGTGAAAATCTGGAGAGATATAGGTATTTAACCACTCGAAGAATAGATAAAATCAGGTCTTAAGGAGTGATTCCGTTATTGAATTAATGAGAAATTTTAAGTCCAATCAATGTTATAGACTGCACATTACAGGTTAATGATTAACTTATAATAATTATTCTTTCCCTATGTTCCAATTGCTTTGATTTTTTATACTTTGTTCTCAAGATGTGTTTTTCATATTCTTTTCTTTGCATTTTTTCAAAAGAAGACGAAAATGAACACGGTAATTGATGAAAAATGTGAAGTGAAAAGCACTTAAATAATTGAAAAGAAAACATGGTGTTGAAACAATAGAATCAAGTAAAAAGGCAATAGTTTACAAGGCAGATCGCATCTTTAGTTGTTGTATATTTTAAGAGGCTTCCAATTAAAGGGGCATTTAGCAGTCTCCCTTATATATTAAATAATGTGTCGGATTTGTAAAAAAAAGTAACTTTTGCTAATATAGCTTAGTAGAACCCTTATATTTAGACAGAAACGAATCAGCTTTTGGTAACATTTTGTGATTCCAGGCAAGGGCTCTTGGTCTGCATTCCTGTGTCATCATCATTCGTATACTGAGAGATTTGTGCCAGAGAGTTCCTACGTGGTCGCCATTGTCTCCATGGGTAAGTAAATTTAAATTCATATATATTTCAATCGTGAACTCACATTGAGTGCTGCTTAGAAAACCTCTCCTAATAAGTTTTAGTACCATGTAAAAGTCCCACAAGGTATATTTGATGCTTTCTTAAATTTAGTTTTGAATTACGTGGCGACATGAATGAATTTACATCAGTGGCCGTATTTGTATGTCTTGGAAGACAATGTAATGCTCGTGGTGATATTATCAGTTTTACTTTAATAGGTCCATGTTGTTCGAAATCTACTTAACAGCAAGAATTTTAAAACATTTTAAAAATGATGCTATTTTTTGGTTGGCTCAATAAAAATTTATATATTTATAATTTATGTAAACAGTTGTTTTGTTATCTTCAAAGCTTGCTTCTATTATTTTCCACACATTGCCACACTCTTATTTACCTGCATCCCTATAACCATTATGTGCTGGATTATAGAGCTCTGGTCTCTTAAAAATTAGCTTCGAGCATAGCATTGTTGTTAGCTCACATTTTTAAAACAAAAACAAAAATATAACTACAAAAACATTAGCTTTTTTTTAGTGCTAAGATACAAATACAACAGATACAAAACGCGTTAGTTTTTTAGTGTTTTTTGTGAATTAGACGCATGCAGTCACTGCAAAGTATTGCTATCATATGCAGTAGATACAGCAAACGCACGCGATTCCTTGCATCGGACGTATAAGCCAGAACGCTAGTATAAAGTTACCATTTGACGAGTCGTGTGCGACTGCTGCTTGCGTCTAACACATGCGACAATCACATAAGAGAGACTGCACCTCAACGTCCCAAAGTAAAAATCATGTATTCTAATACTAGTATAATTCGTGGCAAAATTTTAATTATTGAATTTAAGTTGATAGTAAAACAACATTTAAGTGTAGAAAGTTATGAAGTCGTCTTCCATGTATTGAAATTTATGACGTTGGAAGCAGAACATGGAGAGGTATTAATTAATTTGGCGAAATACAGGAATGAGTTGCAAAAGAAAGTTCATATTGTTGAAGGGGAATTTTCGTCATTCTATACAAAACATAAATGCTAAAAATGATATGAATATTTTTTATTAGAGGTATTCAAAATTGCTATATACATGAAAAATAGCACTCAAGACGAAAATTAGAAAATTTGCGTTTCCAATAAATTTTTGTTTAATCCAACATATTTTTAAGACTCGTAGTTGTAAATTTTCTAAAAATAAACCTGTGATTTTTTATGAGTATACTTTAACCAGTTGAGTATTTGTAATATTTTTATTTATTATGTCTGAAGGCCATGGAGCTGCTTGCCGAGAAAGTGATCTCGTCAGTGCCTGGACAAGCCCAGCTGTCACCAGGAGATGCCCTTCGACGCGTCATGGAAGCGGTGGCTAGCGGGCTGCTTCTCCCGGGTGGTCCCGGTTTGGCTGATCCGTGCGAAAAGGATAATCCCGACGCTTCCGGAGCATTGAACGCTCAACAGAGGGAAGATCTCACCTGCTCTGCACAATACGCCCTTAGATTAATAGCTTATAGACAAATATACAAGGTGAGGAAGAAAGACGACATTTTTGTAACTTTTGTTCTAAATTTGATCTTTTTCTGTAGGTATTAGGTATGGATCCTTTACCGACGCCTCAGAAATCGTTCAGGAGAGTTGGAATCACGCGGAAAAGACGTCTATCGGGTTCAGGACAGGATGGTTCAGAAAGTAAGTTTGTATTTAATTTTTAATATTACTCTCGTATAATTAGTGCAAGAATATTTAATTTTCGTTCTGTATGTCATTAAAAACTTTACTGAAAAATTTATTAGTGTTTACTAAGTCATTTTACTTTAATATTTTCTTCTTGGAATTGTGTCAATTGTATGAAAATGCAACATCGTCCGGTCTATTATAATTAATAGACTAAGGTGGCTAGGACACCTTGAAAGAATGGACACTGGAGACAGATATTATATCAAGAGCTAGTAGGAATCAAAAAGAGAGGCAGGCCAAGATCTAGAATTAAAACTCAAGTCGAAGATGACTTGAGGAATCTAGGGGTCAGAAATTAGAAAGCCAGGGCGAAAGATAAGGGGGAATGGCGACTAATTCTTGAATAGGTCCAGACTTACCCAGGGTTGTAGAGCCAAAGATGATGATGATATTTTCTTCTTGGTGCTCGATTGCAGATATGAATTGGTTTGTTTTTAGACTTGTAAAATCTTTAATTTGATGTAAATTTTAAATATGTTTTTCGTGCTAAAGTGGGATACTGCAATTATGATTTTTCGCGAGACATAACTGCTTGGCAGTTGCAGTTAAAGATGCAGTTAAAAAACTAGCTAGAAACAAATCACCCGGAATATGGTTCAGAGACCTGATCTCTTTAACTAAAAACTAAAATAATAAAAACATTGTTTAGAGTGTTTCGACAGAAAAATATTAAGGCGAATCTATGGAGCAGTGAGTGACAATGTAGTGTGAAGAAGACGATAAAACTTTAAACTTTATAAAATATACCAGGAAGCTGATATTGTAAAACATATTAAGATAGGACTTCCGAGGTGGATAGGGCATGTAATGCGGATGGAACAAAATGACCCAGCTAGAAAAACACTCTTTGATAGACCCATTGGTCAGAGTAGAAGAGGAAGGCCCAGATTCTTTAATAACATTGATGAAGATGGGAAACCGTGCTTGGCGTAGGAAGACGATGGATAGGGACGACTGGAGAGAGGATGATGATGACTGCTTGACACCACCGTTTGTTTTACTCGAGAATATACGTAAATTGTGGCCTGATCACGATAATTTTATCATAAAATTTTCTTATATATTGATGATACATAGAATAGTCAGAACTTAAGTTTTGTTTTCTGTTTCAGGTGATTCAGGAAAGATGGTGAAAACACAGATATAGTTAGTTAAATTATATTTTTACATCTCTGAAGTATTTTACTTTATATATAAGTAACTAATAATGTTTATTTAACTTAGTTCTTTGTGATTTTTTTAGTTATTTTTTACTTAGTGTTATATATCTAATCTGGTCTAAAGCATTACTGAACGTTCAGTAATGAGTTGAATGTATTTGATTTTCTATTAATTATGGAGTTGAATGTATTTGACGAATGAAGTTGTTTCCTAGAAGCTACAAAATAAATATTGAGCAGTGGGTGTTGTTGCTTATTTTACTAAATGTCTTTAATTTTAGAACCTCAAGAATACTCCACTAGGTAGGGTCGTTTTATATTGTAAATGAGTATGGTGTGGCAAGAGAAATAAATTTAAAAATGGTGTATAATACAGCAAAATCAAATAGATAATCAATCAAATTTTTTTGGAAGCGCCATCTGTTGTAAACTGGTTATACTTTAGCCAGTATTATCCTTCCTTTTCTCTTGAAGGATATTTGTTATTTCTAATCAGAGACCACGTCACGACAATTCTTTTCTACAGATAGATCAACAAAACATTGAGATCTAAAATTACGTCAAAGATACAGTAATCGTTTGATATTCATAGAGAAAGGACTTACTCTGAATTATTTAACGTTAATAGTTAAAAATCGATTTAAAGTTAATTTGTGATACTAAAAAGATAGAAATAGTAAGAAAAAAATACAAATAGGATTCTAAAAGCAGCGGAAGCTCGATATTGAAAGAGAAAAATGTAAATAGAGTATACCATCTACCAAACCCTATACTTAATCCGTCACTTCAATAATTCTTTAATCACTTTTAATAAAATTTTTAAATTCTAAGTTGGTATTAAACAGTAACACCAAGCGACAATTTTGACAAACATGCTTAGCTGACTAGAAACGAGTGGCCACCGCGCACCGAGGAAGTCTGAGCTTATAAGTGTGATTAGAAAGTATCTTGACAAATATCGCCAGCATGTTGTAGATAGAATGGCTCTTGCTAAAGGCAACACCATTTTGAGACTTACTCCTTACCATTGCGAGTTAAAACCGATAGAATTGAATCGCTTATTGTATAAAGGGTATAAGACCAAAATACTTAGTTTTGAGAAAAACGAAAAAATCTATCGTTTAGAAACTTGATGACCTATCAAATTTTGTTCTACATATGAAATGTAGAAGGAAACTAGTAGAGTGATACAGCAAATTTGGCTTTGAAAACTATTAAGGCCAAAACGACATTGTTAGCTGCGACTTGTTTTCTTTATAAAATCAACGAATAAAAGACGAAATAGTATGCTGCTCTATAGGTAATAATTATTAATTCATTTATAAAATACGTTTATAACTAAAAAAAACTAATCACTATCATTTATTCTTCATTGGTCGTCGGTCAGTCCATAAATTGCTCAAAAAATCTTTTTCTTCTTCTAGTTCCATATCGATCGTTGGATATCATGTTGGCTACCATATTCGATATCGTGACTTTATTGAAAGCAGCTCTAAATAACGATGTAGTTGATTTTCCATACCATTGCCTTAGATTTTTCAGCCATCATGTTCTTCTACCAGGACCACGATTACCTTGGATCTTTCCCTGAATGATCAGATGTAAAAGATCATATTTTTCAGGGTGTCTCATAATGTGACCGAAGTATTCCAGCTTGCGTTTCTTTATTATATTGACCAGTTGTGTTGTTTGGTTCAGCCGTCTAAGGACCTCCTCATTTCTTGTCGACCCAGCTTATTTTCAGTAGTCGTCTGTATACCCACATCTCAAAGGCTGTCAAGCGTTTAAGCATAGCCTCAGTTAGAGTCCACGCTTTCACTCCATACAGCAGAACAGGAAAGATGTAGCAAGATGTCATTCGAACTCTAAGGTCAATGCTAAGATCGTGACTGCAAAGTACGTTTCTCATTTTTACAAAGCTCGGGCTTGTTCTATTCGGCTTTAATTTCTACGGTTGGATCCCAGCTCTCATTTATATTACTGCCGAGATACACGAGTTTCTCTACTCTGTCCAGTGTGGCATCTCCGACTTTTATAACGTCATCCTGTATATAATTTTGTTTGCTAACTATCATATATTTAGATTTCTTAACGTTGAGTTTTAATCCATACTGATCACAAGTCTGTTTTATTTTGTTCATTAGATTTTGAAGGTCTTCTCCGCAATTACCAAGGACTAAGGTATCGTAGTCGAGGACGTCCTCCAACAAGGTGGTCGGACGATTTAAAGCGCATCCAGTCTAACTGGATTCAAGTTGCTCAAGATCGGATGCAATGGAATTATTTACGGGAGGCCTATGTTCAGCAGTGGACGCAAAATGGCTAATGATGATGATGAAGGTATCGTCGGCATATCTAATATTGTTGACGGTTACTCATTCACAATAATACCTTCGGTTGTCTCCATTAAGGCTTCCTTAAATATTTCCTCCGAATATAAGTTAAAAAGTAAAGGCGACAATATACAGCCTTGTCTCACTCCTCTTTTTATATTTATTTCATCCGACAGTTCTTGTTCAACCTTTATTCTTGCCACTTGATGCCAGTATAGATTTGTAATTCTTCGTAGATCTTTATCGTCCAATCCAGCTGTTTCTAATATTTCTAGCATTTTGTTACGTCGGACTTTGTCAAAAGCCTTTCAAAATCGATTGCACAAAATGTACACATTTTGATTTATACCTCTGTACTAGCATCTGTATACTAAACAAGGCTTCTCTTGTACCCAAGCCATTCCTAAACCCAAATTGAGTATTGCTAATTCTGTCCTCTAACAGCGAGTAAATTCTGCTGTGCAGGAAGATCTTCAAAACGTGACTCATCAGACTTATTGTCCGATAATCACCGCATGTCTTTGGACGATGTTTCTTAGGTATTGTGACAAATGTCGACTTTAACCAATCAGTTGGTAATATCCCAGTGTCATAAATTCTGTTAAAGAGATTACACAGAGCTTTAATTCCATTTTCTCCCAAAAACTTTAGTATTTCAGCACTTACTTCATCGGGGCCAAGTGCTTTTCCATTTTTTGCCGTTTGTATTGAACGTCTTACCTCCCTTGCTCTTATAGATGGACCTGATATAGCAATCGGTGTATAGTGTTCTACTCTCTCATCTTCAAATAATTCAGAAATGAAGTTTTCCCATTCTTTTAACTGTTCATTGATGTCTAATATTCTGTGTTCATTTCTGTCTTTTAAACTTTGGGATACTTGTTTCCAGCGACCTCTTTTAATTTCTTGTGCAGATGAAATGTATCGTATTTCTTTTCATATTGTTCTGCGTGTCTTATCTTCTGCCTGATTATTGCGTGGATCCTCTTGTATTCGTTTTTATCTTTATTTCTGACTTCTCTTCTTTGATCCATAAGTCTCAGTATTTCTTCTGTCATCCACCCTTGTTTTTTTTTCTTGCTTTTAGCGCACTTTTTGTTTCTTGAACACTCTTTAAGATGTCTTTAATTCTCGTCCAGTTTTCCTCAGTACTTTCTTCTTTGCTTGATGTTAACTCCATTTTTTGTTCTAATATACTAGTTATTTCTTGTTTTACAGTATCATTTAGCATCGTTTCTCTATCAATAGTAACTGTTTGCTTATTCGTCCTTGCAACTCTTTTTAATCTCAGTCTTATTTTTCCTACTAAAATATTGTAATCTGTTGGTATATCTGCGCCTGAATATGTTTTTACTGCTAATACTGAATTTCTGTATCTCTTATTTATACATATGAAGTCTATCAAGACTTTCATAATATTATCACCCAGTTTTTTTGTTTTGATAAATTAAATTTGGATGGAGCAAATCCATCTATGAACTCTAATGCTGTTATAACTCGGGGGTCTCACTTGAATAAGTTAAGTGATTATATTTTGATATCGGAAAATTTTCTTTTATTTTATTTGTACCCATGATGAGTTCCTTTGTATTTTTTTAAAGTCTAGAATTTAATACTTGTCTACCACTTAACAGTAAAATGTGGTCTCGATGATTTTGCGTTTGCCATTATTGTCACCTACTGCATTGGTGTAAACATATAACAAATAAACCCGGTGATGACGCCTGAGAACCCTTTTTATTTTTAAGTCCAAAATCTCTGTCACACGGTAGAAATGAATGCCCACGAACCGGGAAATATTGATGAATTGTTTTAAATCGTTCATTCATGATAAGATTTAAGAAAAATCGCACAAGGGTACGATTTCTATTTTGGCCCCCACAAGCATCACTAAATACGTGTAATTCAGTGATAGTTTCTGACATTTTAAATAATCCTGCAGGAACCTCATTCGCTCCATGTTTGGCAGTGCCCTCATAGTACATATAAAATGTTGCAGCATTAGTTTTTATGTCATTTATCCCAAAAACATATCATACTTTTCATAGGTAAAACATTCACTGGCACAAATGGTAATGCCAAATTTTGCATTAAATCAAAAACGATGGCTGCTACATTATCGTTTTTATTACACATCTCTTCTATATATTTAATTTTTTTTTGTAAAACTTAGCTTCCCTCTTCTTTGATTTCTAAAAGAAATCAAAGAAATTGGTATCTTTTTTTGTCATTTCTGAAGAATATTATAAATGCTGGTTACAACGTTATTCTTTGCAGGGGTCGATATGTAAGCACAGGTAGGATACAGGAATTAAACACTTTGGTTCGCAGTCTTTGAGGTATATTTTTATTTTTAAGTACGTATGAGTCTTCCTAACGTCTTTCTAACATTAACGAATAATGAAGGTCATGCACTATCCCTAGAAGACGAAGTAATGGAGGAATGGGAAAACTACATTAAAGCATTATTTAAGGATGATCGAGGATCACTACCTAACTTAAGTGCAAATACAGGACCATCAATCTTAAAAGCTGAAGTGGAAAAAGCCATACACCAAGCCAAAAACAACAAAGCCAGTGGACCAGATCAAATATACAGCGAATGGCTATAATTACTCTCAAATGACAATACAAAAGAACTCACTGTACTTTTCAATCAAATATATGATACCAGTGAAATTCCATCGGACTGGTTAAAATCGATCTTTATACCTCTACCTAAGAAACCAAACGTTAAGAAATGTAGCGATTGTAGACTCATTAGTTTAATGAGCCACGCCGTTAAAATACTGTTGCATATTTTTCTAAACCGAATTAACAACAAGTGCGAAGAAATAATTAGTCAAGAGCAGTTCGGGTTCCGGAGATGCCTTGGAACTAGAGAAGCACTATTTTTTATGCAAACACTCCTTCAACGATGTTGGGAGGTAAGAAAACCCGTATATATGTGCTTCATTGATTTTGAAAAGGCATTTGACCGCGTTCAGCATACCAGACTAATTACCGCCTTGCAGAGCATCCAACTAGATAAGAAAGACATCAAACTTATTGCCAAATTTTACTGGAACCAAAGAGCCACTATTAATACCAACAACAGAAAATCAAAGCCAATCAGTATTGAGCGAGGCGTAAGACAAGGCTGTATACTACCTCCCACCCTCTTTAACGTGTATTCTGAGAATCTATTTAGGGAAGCTTTAAAAGATCAAAAAGGAATTATCATAGGAGAAATAATTAACAATATACGGTACGCCGACGATACTGTGATTCTAGCTGAAAACATCGACGATCTGCAGGAGCTAATCAATAGAGTTGACATGGAATGCACAAATTGGGAACTGTCGATAAAACTAAATACATGGTGACCAGTAAAGTGGATATCGGCGCAACCCAACTGATATTAAACCAACAACCGCTGCAGAGAGTTCAAAGATTCAAATACCTTGGATGTTGGATTACCCAAAATCTAGATCCATCCTTCGAAATTCGATGTAGAATTGAACAGGCAAGAAACTCATTTCAAAAATGCAAGCCTCTATTATCCAATAACTCATTAAATTTGGAAATCCGTGAAAAGTTTACAAGATGTTACGTGTGGTCTGTACTTTTGTATGGATGTGAAACTTGGACTTTAAACGCCGATATCATGAATAAAATCGAGGCGTTTGAGATGTGGTTGTATCGAAGGATACTAAAAATTCCATGGACTAGCAGAACCAGAAACGAAGAAGTTCTTCGAAGAATGGGACATCAACGAACTCTATTAAATATTATTAAGAGGCGTAAACTAGAATATCTTCGACGTATAATCAGAGGACCAAGATATGAGTTCTTTCGGCTAATTCTCAACGGTAATATCGAAGGAAAGAAATGGATAGGACGGAAGAAACTCTCTTGGTTGAGGAATTTGCGGCAGTGGACAGGTTTGACAGCGGACCAATTGCTACACGTAACCCAAGACCGAGATCAGTATAATAATATTATAAGCATGGTAGTCGCCGACGTTCCGTAGGGATATGGCACTCTAAGAAGAAGATGAGTCTTCCGAATACTGCCCATCCTATTTTTACACGTCTGCTTATTTTGGAGATGGTGTGTATGGAGAGAGATACAAATTTCCCGTATAGACTCAATGATCCGTCGACTTTGGTTTAACAAAATGTATATCTCACTTTAAATTCGTACTGATGCGGACTTATTCCCTTGATACAATAAGCGATTTAATTAATCTGGGCTCAAGTAAAGGGTTACGTAGCTCGTGAAAACGTGGCATAAAATTTCTGATGTCGAACGTTTGTTAGAACTCGCAATGGAACAGACACGGAAAGAAGATTGGACTAAAGCCGTAGCGCATGTAATCAAGGAAGAGAACATGTGGAGATTGGACGGGATGATAGACACTCTTCGACAAAATAATAATAGACATAAGTGTGACTAGGGATTCCTCTTCGGAAGATTCGCTGGAGTCTGAAACTTGATAAGCATAACTTAGGTAATTATTTCTTTGCTTTATAGTTCTCCTTCTATATAAATGAAATATAATAATTATTTTGCAAAGTTTTCTGTTTTTTGAAGTACTGTATTAGGCACTCTATAATACCAATAAAATTTTACTTAATTTTGTTAGAAAACTATAAGATACCTGTCAAAACACACATAATAATTTAATAATTATATCGGTCTTAGATATAATTTTTACCTAATTACTTATGTGTTTAAATAAATAGTAAATATTTAAAATATTGTTTTGGTACTCCTGTGCAAAAGTTGATAAGGGGGATTATAGGTTGCTCGCTTTAAGTGCGATTTTGCCAATGAATCACCTTCAATTAAAACTTGTTGTATATAAACGATGGTACTTAACCACCCTTACAGAACAATTAGATAATCTTGGAAAGGACTGGAAGAATAAAGAATTATCAAAAATAACATCCACTTTATTTTAAATCTATTCCCCATCATCCTGCAAAATGTCAGGACCAGGACTGTAAAAATTATTTTGACAAGATCCCTTTTTGTGTGTCTTCATGTGCTTGTTCAGATATGACTTCTCTAGGAAAGCCTTGTCGCAGAACGTACACACGTGACTGCGTTCTCCCACGTGGACTCTCTCGTGCACCTGTAGATTATATTGGTTATTGAACGTCCGCGCACAGAAGCTGCACATGAATGGTTTTTCACTGCTGTGGATCAGGACGTGCTTGTTCAGCACGTTACGGTGGTAAAACTGCTTACGGCAAACTGGACAGTGATAGGTGAGGGATCCTTTGCCTTTGTTTCTCGATCCTTTGTGTCTATGCATGTGCCTATAATAAAAAGGAAATTTTAAAACATGTATATTTTACAAAAGTATGCTTTTTTATAACTTTCCAAAAGAAATAGCTCGCAATATATGAAGCGTATGAAGCAAAACCAGAAATTTGACATTTAAAAAAAATCGAGTTATATATGGATTCCATATAAAAACGTTGATAGAAGTTCGTTTATCTGACCCTTATGTTGATAAACAGACATTTGAATGGCATTATTCACAGTTGAAATTTAGCCTGAGAGCCTCTGCAAAAGCAGACAATTGTGTACACTTGTTACGTGCAAAGGCAGACATTTGCCTTTAAACCAATCCGGATGCGACTACCACAAACGTGGTAAACATACGTTATGAAATAGTACTCATGAATAATAATTGAACATTGTAAACATGAATAACATTATTATTGAACCAAGTCCAGCAGGTAAAGGTAGGTATTTTCGACGATGCCTTCCTGAATTATAAATGTGCGCTCATCACACTAAAATTCATCAATGTTCCTCGTTGACAATGACCGATATCAGAAAATTCAACGAAAACTAACTATCTTAGCAAACCATCGAAATCCTATTTAGACATATTTGCATTGAAGCACTGCGTGACAAATAATCCAAAAAGATCCGGTACGAAAATTAAAGAAAACGTTCTAAATAAACCAAAAACAGTCAGTGTTAAGTACGGCATCAACACTTCAAGAGGATCAATTCCTGTTTGTAAAAAAACATTCGTAGCGATACTGGATACTGAACAAGGAAAAGGAGATATTAAATACAATTAAAATAAGAAAATTGCAGTATCTGGGTCATGTCATGAGAGGTGAGAGATATGAGTTGCTGCAGATCATTATACAGGGAAAGATACTGGGCAGAAGAAGCATAGGCCGACGACGTGTATCCTGGCTAAACAATTTGAGGCAGTGGTACAATTGTAACTCTGTTGAACTGTTTAGAGCAGCAGTGTCAAAGGTGAAGATAGCCGTGATGATAGCCAACCTTCTTAAAGGAGACGGCACTTAAAGAAGAAGAAGCGATACTGGCTATTGAAAAAAAAAACGAATTAAAGGAGTATCATAAAACGGGAGTTTTTGTCAGCAGAAAGAAGAGGGGGTGACAGAACACAAAAATCAAGTTGTAAAAAGCAAGCTATAACGTATTTCATTGAATATATTACTAAAGGGGGGAAACTCATTATCTCAGAAATAAAAAATTTGTTAGACGATATTTGCCTTGTGAACTAAATATATCGAAACTGTGGAAGATGTATAAGTCTACAACTGAGGAACATCTAAAAGTAAGACGCAAAAATATTTTTGTACGACAATACATTGGTTTTATATCACCAAAAGTTTATGTACGTTCACAATGTCTCAAATTTACAGAAAAAATGAAAAAATTCTCAAACCCACAAGAAAAAATAAAGATAATGACAGAACAGCGCGTACACAAACTGCGTAAAAGTAAAGTTTAGTAAAGTGTTTTATGAGTTATTGAGGGAAGACAATCGCACAGTAGCAATATTTTCTTTTCTGATTGCCAAAAGAATCTACCACTACCAAAGATTCCAAACCAGGCTTGCTATTTTAATATACAAATAAATTTGTACAATTTTGCAGTTGTAACTGGAAATTCAAAGTTCCCACTTAATCCTGAATCAGTAAAATCTTTATATGGACAGAGAATGCATACATTGATAAACTTAATTTTGATGAACGGAGCAGAGAAAGTCCGTTTAGTGGCTGATGGTTGTGGGGCTCAGAATCTGTGGCGCACCCAGAGAGGTTTTGGGAGTTAAAACCCCCTCCAGGGCATATAAAGTAAAAAATATATAATGAATAGTATAAAAATGTAACTTGCCTTTCACACGCAATACAAAAAATCCAAAACCTAATGTATGTTTAATTAAATTACCACTTTAAATGTGTAGAACACAATAATTATTGTATAATAACACAATAATTAATAATATTTTTCATTATATTTATATATAGGTATCTAATATTAGGCTTATGACAAAATTATACAGAACGAGTCTGTTGCGAGCAGCATGCGCCTACAGAACTGTATCTGTGGCGGCCTTGTGGACTATCACGGGTTGTGTGTTCCTCTACATGTGTAAGCAGTAGAAAATAGACATCTCTATGAGAGAAGAGAGCATTTGACAACAGTCATAAAAAAAGAAGAAAGGGAAAGATCAATGAAAATATGGCAAGAAGAGTGGAACAACTAGGAAAATGTTGCCCAGTGGACCATGATGCTGATCCCGAGCCTAAAGGACTGGGTAGATTGCCTGTTTTAGGGCGTACCTTCATAGGTTCAGAAAGACAGATGCAGATAAATGCCTATACTGCGAATATTCCGACATTGTTACAGAATGAGAAACAGAATATATTAAAGAAATAGGTATGAACGACTGTAAGAGAGATGATCGTAAAGATGACGGAAAGTGCGGAGGGATGGAATAGTGTTCACAATTACATCCGAGCAGTCCTTAAAAAAGAAAGAAGAACAAGAGAAACACGAAAGAAACACAAGAGATATATACAATGCTTTGTATATCATTATTATATTTTGTTGTATCTCAGGTTATGTGCAAGTTGGTGTTATTGTCATTGATTTAACTGTGCAATCAGGTTTAACTTTTTAATATGGATATCACTCCTAGGAAAAGAAAAAGGATCATGACACTTAGTGAGCATACACCAATGACTCAGAGGGACATAGCAAAGGAGTGTTGTGTAAGTTTGGGTGCAGTAAACATAATAATTAAACAAAAAAAGGAAACAGGGTCAGTTGAAGTGCAGCGAAAAGGAAAATGTGGAAGAAAATGGAAGACTACTCCTCGAGATGACGCCTTTCTTTTGCACGAAAGCAAACTTCATCAATAGATAGAAACAAAAAATCCACTAGGAAACTAAGTTCCTGTAGCTGGCTGTATACCATATATCACAAAAAATTTATTTCAAATCATTTATAAAACGTATATAATAAAATGCCCAAACGGGCTATCACAAATAAATTATAAAACGTTTTCGGATTGTTAAATCCATCATCAGTGTAAACGAGGTATACATGCTATGAGCCACCAAAATATATGGGTCAAAACCCTTTAAATGATATAAATTTACAATTGTTTTACATTATATGTTGTTACAAATTATGATGTTTAAGTTACGTTGGAATTGGTAACATGGTGACGTATGACCCTACATAGGTAAAATGGTCCTGAGACGAAGTGTTTTCGAGGATCTGTTGATAACAACTCAACCAGTTGTTATCCTGGTCCTCGAAGACACTTCGTCTCAGGACCATTTAACCTATGTAGGGTCAACTCAACCAGTTGTTGAATTGACAACAACTTCTGACAGCGCCTATGATGAAAAAAAGACTAAATTGGACAAAAAAATATGCTCATTGGAGTGCAGAAGATTGGAGAAAGGTGTTATTTTCTGAGGAGACCCACTTCCTAGTGCAGGGCCAGCGATCAAAATTCGTACGAAAGGCAACCAATGAGTCACTTTCAGCTAGCCATATTAACCAAACAGTTAAACATCCACCAAAAAAATGTTCTGGGTCCGTTTTTCATACTCAGGAACTGGCACTCTTATTCCTATTGAAGGTATGATGAACAGTGAAAAGTACAAAGCCATGCTAGGGCAACGCTTAGCTATAGAGATTGACAAAGTACAAATAGAAGGGACTGCAATTTTTCAACAATATTCAGCTCCGTGCCATGTATCGAAGGTTATAATAATCAGATAAAATCAAGGTTAATATTACCCTTCTTGATTGGCCTGGGAATTCACATGACCTTAATCCTATTGAAAATTTGTGGGCAATATGTAAGGCTAAACTGCAAAAATTTGACTGTACGACAAACACAAAAATGGTGGAAGCAGTGATTAAGGTGTGGTTTAGAGATAAAGCAATCACAAACAATTGCAAAAAAACTTGTGGATTCCATGCCTAGAAACTCCAGGAAGTCATAAAAGTAAAAGGGAGACATATTAAATACTAATTAATGAAAAAATCCCATGTAAGTGTACCTAAATTTACCTTTGACCTAAATAAATCATATTTACAAAGTAATTCTGTTTGTTCACATTAATTCGTACAATACTGTACCAGGGTACTAAAAAGAGTCTAAAGAAAGTGAGTATTAAAAAAGGTTGGTTTAAAATTATGCTTTTGACAAATATGTTTCATTGTTTTATTTTTCCTATAGTAAATAAATAATTATACTCACGCATAAATGTTCCAAACGTAAGACCCACATACAGTGCACAGATGTTTTATTCTAGGGTGCTTCGAGCTCTTATGGGTATTTATATCCATAACGGTAACGTTACATTTCTTGCAAAAGGCGGGCGTGTTCTTAGTGGAATTGTGAAGCGAACTAATATGTATAATCCGAGCTGTCGAGGTTTCAAACACCTTCTGACAGTACTTACATCTATAAAAACCGGGGTTCTTGCAGACATGACTGTTAAGGCTTTTTAATGTGTTGACGCTTTGGTGGCAATATGTGCACCTTGAACGAAAAAATTTACGATCAATTCAAAAAGTTCTGATAGCAATTGTTCATCTGACAGAATCCAAATCAGACAGTGCTAGATTTGGACGAAAAATACAAATTATAATAAATACATACAGGAGTACCGTTTAATATGTCAAACGGTAATTCCAAAATTAAAAAAAATAATAATAGGGCGAATATAACAGTATTTCTAAATATAGACAAATCAATTTTTAAGTGTAAGTGTTTAAAAGACTCTTGTTCTTAATAGACCCTAAACGAATACGTTTTCTTTTAAACCACTCCATTCAAGAAGAAGAAGTATATTTATTCAAAAATAGGGAAAGCCCTAATACATACAAAATTAATCAATTTATAACATTCATATATAAGATAAAAATAACAATTACACTTAAAATATAGTATCTACACTTATTAAAAAATATAAAACAATAATATAAAACATAAAACATGACAACAAAACAACTACCTAACTATTGGTGGTTTTAATATGGTTCATTAATTTGTTTTTAAACATTTGTAAAGATGAACAATTTTTAACTGTTTGAGGAAGCTTATTAAAAAGATCAAAACCCTTAAACAACAAAGAGTTTCATGTCATTCTTACCTTTTATATTTGTATTTGTCCGAATAATTGACATTTTCTGTGTGGATAGTCATGTGACGTTTGAGATGGGTAGGATTTGAAAACTTCCTGTCGCATTCTGGACACGTGTATGGCAGTTCATCGTCTTTGTGGGTCAGCAAATGGCATTTGTAGTTTATTTCGATAACAAAACCTTTACCGCAAGTAGCACACCTGAAATGTCAAGTTCCTATGACCAAGCAGTACAAAAAGTGGGTCAGTAATGTAGTGTAGTTGATTTAAGAAACTACTTTTAAGTATGTGTTTAAAGCATTGTTTTGAAAGGCATCTATATTCGCCAGAAAGAAATCGCAAGTCGTTATAGAAAAGGTCAGAAGTGTTTATGCTTTCTAATTTCGAAGCTGAGAAATTAACTAATAATCGTCGTGATATTTGTGAAGTTTACGAAGAAAACATTACGAGCGATGTATTTATACATTTATTGTATCTTAAAAATGTCTTTACATGATAAAAAATCACACGATCGTCACAGAATGGTTTAAGAATCTATGAAAAGAGAATAAAAATGAACTAGATAATTACTTACTATATACATCAAAATAATCCAGGGGACACCAATATTAATAGCTTTAAATCAATGTTGACACAAATACAAAAATAAATTTATGTTTTGAATCTTTTTGTTTGAATTTTTTTGTTTTGCCGAATATTATAACAACTTGGACGGCAATGCTCATGAGAATGGCTATAAAGAATTTAACACAACTTCAATATGTGTTTTTATCTATAAGATAAAAAATAATATTTCTTTATTGGTACTTGATTTTCGATGTCTATGTGCTCATCGACTTCAGTGGGCACAAGAACACGCAAATTGCGTTAGACGTGAATGGGACCCTCTACTTTGTTCACAGATGAGTCCCGATTTGGATTTGCACCAGATGCGGACAAGAATTTGGAGACGATCTGACAATGCTGAACGATTTGCCACCGTTCAGAAGGTTCATATACAGCAAAGCGGCAATATATAGTATGGAGTGCCATCACTATTTGTGTCAGAACCAATCTCGTTTGTCCGGAACGGTTTCTAAATGCAACAGACTTCTTCTTCAAGTTCCATCTTCTATCGAAGGTTGGAAATCATCATGGTTATGCGGACTGCCGCTCTAAAAAGTTCTGCACTACTGCATTCAAGCCATTCCCTTAAGTTCTTAAGCCAGGATATTCTTCTTTTCCCACATTTCGCTTTCCTCGGATATTGCCCTGCATAATAAGTTGTAATAATGCGTATTTTTTTTTCTCTCATCACATGTCCTAGGTACTCAAGTTTTCGTCTTTTAATAGTTAATATTATTTCCGCCTCATTTCCTATCCTTCTAGTTACTTCCACGTTTGACATTCTTTGAATCCATGATATTCGTAGGAATCTTCTGTAACACCAAAATTTAAAGGCAGCCAACTTATTCAGATGGACTTGTTTTAGTGTCCACGCTTCCAAACCATAAAGAAGAGTAGAGAACACGTAACATCGAAGCATTCTTACACGTAGTTCTAACCTTATATCTCGACACCAAAAAAACTTTAAGTTTAATGAATGATGTACGTGCTATTTCAATACGTGTCTTAATTTCTTAGGTTTGGTCTACAACTGATGTTATCCATGTTCCTAAGTATTTATAGTTATTAATACTCTCAATTGCAGTATCTTCAATAGTCAATTGGATATTTGCATGTGCAGATTTAGTCATGATCATGCATTTAGTTTTCTTTAAATTTTTCTTCAGTCCGTACTCATGACAGCGTTTATTAAGGCGTTGCATTACGTTCTGTAAATCATTGTTGTTATCCGTCATTATTACTGTATCGTCTGCAAAACGTAAGTTATTCAAAACTTCTCCATTGATAGATATACCTTCTATTGAGTCTGAGAGCGCTTCTTGAAATACCGCTTCACTGTAGACATTGAAAAGTAGTGGGGACAGCACGCAACCCTGGCGGACTCCTATCTGTATTTTGATATTTTCGGTGTACTAGCTGTCAACTCTTACCTTGGCAGTTTGATTCCAATATAAATTAATATATAATTTTCATATCACGACTGTCAATATTTTTGCTTTTTAATATATCTACAAGCTTTTTATGTTGAACCTTATCAAATGCCTTCAAAGTCTACACTTCAAAAAGCTATTGTTCTGTGATCTGAGCAAGTTGTTGCACTTGGCTTTTTGGGAATTGCTACAAAGGTCGATTGCAGCCATTGTCTGGGGATTGTGGCAGTCTGATATATTAGATTAAAGAGTTCAACCATCACATCAATAACATCTTCATCGATGAGTTTTAATAATTTTTTGATGGCATAGATGACTTCTTCTCTTAATATTGGGGGTCCGGTATCCTCGGTGATTTCTAATGAGTTTTTCTCTTTCATCATTAAATAGTTGTTGGATGTAATTGGTCCAGTGACATAATTTCTCCTTCATATCAGTAATAATATCTCCTTTATCATTTTTAAGGATATTCGTTTTTGTACTTTTTCTAGAACCTGTCATTTTTTTGATTTTTTTGTGTAAATTTAAGCTATCATACTTTTTATCCAGATCTTCTATTTCCTTGCATCTGTCGGAGAGCCACCTCTCTGTTGCCTTTCGAATTTTCTTTCTAATGTTTCTCTAAATTTCTTTATATTTATTCATTTCTTTAGCTTTATGTTTTCTTTGTTCTTCCATAAGTTCAAGAATTTCTACTATCAACTAAGGTTTTGTTTTTTCTCCAAGTGGTTTGAGGGTTTCTTTTCCAACTGACACAAGGGTATGTTGAAATTTTCCCCATTTTTGGTCAATAGTTAGAGTTTCCGCATTATCTTCTTTGACTTTCCTTAAGTTCTTGTTTATTTTAAATTTCGTTTCCGCATATGTGTTGTCTTATTTGAGACGTCTTGTATCCATGATTTTCTTGGTGCTAGGGCTGTGCAACAGACTACCGCAATATTATTCTCGAACCTATTGTTGTACCCTTTGCACAACAAGCTGATCCCCAATTTCAATGAATGCACGACAATGCGCTTCCGTATACTGTCAGGGTCGTGCGAACATTCCTCGATTGAGAATTTACTATGGCCTGTACAATTGCCAGATTTAAACCCAATTCAGCATGTATGGAACATATTGGGCAGACGCATTTTACAATAAAATATTGCATTCAGTGCAAGACAACAACTAATTGAGGACCTTTCAATGGAGTTATACAGAATACCGCAGCAAGACATTGACCATCTGATCATGAGTTTGCCTTACTGAGAATTGGGCAGTTGATAGGCTACTTTATCTATTTTGAAGACGTTTCGCTTTCGAGTTTTGAAAGCATCATCAGTTCATCTAAAAAAGTACAATATGAGAACCACACAATCATGGACGCGATGTTAATTGTTATCTTAAAAAGACATGTGGCAGTCAATGTTATTAACAATAATTATTTGGAAAATAGTTGGAAGTTATCTATGATTTTCTTGGTTCTTGCTCACTAATTAACATTAAATAACATTTAATTTACTTTAGACCACATGGTCATTTGCTGTGCTAATTTTATAAGTTCATATATGTTGTTAGTTACTTAATTGTTTATACAAAATCAGCGTATTATGTCCATATACTTAGTTTCATTCACATTATTGTTAATAACATTGACTGCCACATGTCTTTTTAAGGTAACAATTAACATCATTTCCATGATTGTGTGGTTCTCATATTGTACTTTTTTAGATGAACTGATGATGCTTTCAAAACTCGAAAGCGACACGTCTTCAAAATAGATAAAGTAGCCTATCAACTTTGTCTTTTATTTCTCCACCTAGAGACCGATATAAGAACCCACCACTCGTCTGAGTGATCCTTATATATATATATATATATATATATATTATATATATATATATATATATATATATATATATATATATTAAGTCTATTAATATTTATATATATGTTTTTACACTAAAAAATGCAACATCGTCCGGTCTATTAAAATTAATAGACTAAGGTGGTTAGGACACCTTGAAAGAATGGACCCTGGAGACCCCCAAAGACAGATATTCTATAAAGAGCCAGTAGGAACCATGAGGAGAGGCAGAACAAGATCTAGATTCAAAACTCAAGTCGAAGATGACTTGAGGAATGCAGACTAATTCTTGAACAGGCCAAGACCCACCCAGGGTTGTAGAGCCAAAGATGATGATGATACTTGTTTATAACTTTTTATTAAGAGATAGATTATTTTGATGTATATTTATCAATCTCTGAAACATTGGTTTTAAAGCAAAATCGCAAAAGAATAATAAAATGCTGGTCATCTACACATCGACAAAAAAATGATAAGATAGGATGGGTTTATTCGGTTTGAAAATGCTACATCTGAGGCAGTCCAATCCAAAAGTTGGGTAAATTTGACATTACTTACTTGTAAGGGGGATCATCATTATGAACTACCATATGTGACAGTAGGAACTTCTTTCTCTTGAAAACTCTACCACACTTATCACAATTGAAATGATCAGTAGCAAAATGCTGATTCATGTGAATGACATATTCAGCCGCTTTCAACTGCTTCTGGCAGATGTAACAGATATGCAATATTTCTCCCTCGCTCCCCAACAAACCTGTATCAGCACGAGGGGAGGCTTGGTATAGAGTTTTACGTATGTTCTTTGGACCGCGTAAGTACTTTTGCAGCGCCTTGTGGCCGGTGATGTGAGAAATAAAGTCATCTAGAGGTAGAACTGTGTAGCAAATGGGGCATGTGTGGCTAATACGACTTTTAAATTTTCGTGTTTTTGAGTATCTTGGAGACTTGGGTCTACTAGGAGGGTCCTCGATGCTAATATCTGTTTGTAGCAGCAGTGGTTCCACCTTCGACACATACATCAGGCTTTTGTCAGATTCAAGAGGATCATCTGAAACCAGATCTTCATTGACACCGTCTTCCAATTCACAATCAATTTCTTCGGGACTCTGCACATCATTTATATATTCCTCAAATATATCTTCCTCCTCTACTTTGCATTGTGGTAAAATATTGATTTCAGTATTATCTCTTTCAATAGTGTTTTGTTTGTTGATTGCTTGTTTTTCTAGATTACCAGTAGAATATAACTGTAAGATCGAATTAGCCTTTTCGAAGGCATAACGAATTGTAGCTATGAAAATTATTTGATTTTTGCAGGTTTCACAAATTTGATTCGGAACATTGTCAGAGACTGCAAGCTGAAAATAAGAGGATGTAATAACAATACAATCTCATCTAATACTTATTTTACTTATTTTATCTAATTTACTATTTCATACTAAAATTCGTATAGAACTGTAAATTTAAATCTGGATCTTAATGGATGGTATGGAACTTAAATCATTAAACTCTATTAAACTAGAACATGCAATACAACCAATAATAGTATGCATCAGAAGTTACCAGCTTTAGAACCAGAAACAATAAAAGAAAAATAACGTACAGGTCTTGTTATCGATAATTTAATCCTGCTTTGTTTTTGTTTACGTAAAAGATTATGCATCGAAATAATTAACTATACTCTAAATTCAATACGATTGTCAGGTTATAGTTTCAAAAGCATACATTACAGAGAACTTTTTATTTTATTGATAACAGCATCAACCACTTTGGGTTATTAGCTGTGTAGCATTTCAAATCACCTTGTATAAGGTAAAACACCGAAAAAGTATTTTAAATCCTTTTGCATCGCTTGAGTCGATAATAAACACATTTTAAAATTTGTTTATATATATCGCAGATGCGTATTTCCTCGGTATTCTTTTGATCGTGAGCCACTTTGAGATGTATTGCGCTTCAAGTAAATATCCACTTGGGTTGATGGGAATGTTATGCGGGGAGGCGAATGATTTTTGAGGATTATGAAGTTACTCTCGCTGGAGCCACTGTCAAAGGCAGTTGGTTTCGAGTTTTTTCATTTTTCGTCTTTTGTTATAGAAATATGTAGTTTGGTGAGCAGTTAATAGTTACAGTTTAAGTGAAATTTAGAAGAATTTTTGAAGAGACAACACTCGGTGTGGGTCGGCGTTAAAAAACCGGCAAATTTGTTGTAAAAAAGTGAACTCGAATGTAATGTGTCAGTCTTTGAAAGAGTAATCTCTGTTTTTGTTTTTATGCCGTCTCTCATCTAAGAGATTTGCAAAACGGCGTTTCCAACAACTTAGAAGGATAACCATATGGTTCCATTGTGTCCAGTTGCGTTCCAGTTGTGTTCCAAGTTTTAAGAAGCCGAGTTTTCAAAGTTTGCGTCCCAGTGAACAGCTTCCATCCTCCTTTTTTGTTTGTCCAAAGCCAATCCAGGCTATTTCGCAGTGTGAGATGCAGTGTTTTGCGTGACATTGAATCTTTAGTCCAGTTCCAAGTCCAGAAATTTTAAAGAAAAAAAAATAACATTTGGTGAAATTCAGGTAACTTTTTTGTTTTGTTTTTTGTTTCCGAAGTGGAAATTGAAACGTCAATGGAACAGGAACCTGGATTTCAGACAATAATGATCAAACAACCGAAATAAGAGCTAGGATAGAAATAGCAAGAAATGCGTTTGTAAAAATGAAAACAATTCTCTTCAACAAAGATCTTAGATTAGAACTGGGAGTAAGAGCACTGTGATGCTATGTGTTTTCGATACTGCAATATGGACTTGAAAGCTGGACATTGAAGCAAGAACACATAAATAAGTTACAATCCTTTGAATTGTGGTTCAGGAGGATGCTTAGAATAGCATGGACACAAAAGAAAACTAACACGGAAGTATTGCGAGAAATGGGCAAACATTGCGAAATAATAAGCACAATAAAAATAAGAAAGTTACAATATCTGGGAAACGTAATGAGGGGACAGCGATATGAACTGCTAAGGCTGATAATAAAGGGAAAGATGAGAGGAGGAAGGAGTACAGGAAGAGGGAGAGTGTCATGGTTGAAAAATTTAAGGGACTGGCTTAAATGCAGTTCTATAGAACTCTTTAGAGCAGCAGTAGATACAGTAAAGATAGTGATGATGATATCCAATCTCCGATTGGGAGACGGCACTTAAAGAAGAAGATATATTCCTGGACTTGTTCTATCTCACTGCCATTTATAGTTATACGTCTGGGGTCATCTGTGTTTGTCATTATTTTTGTTTTTTTCCATGGACGTATAAACAGAGATGGACTCAGTTATTTACATAAAATTGTGAAGTCAAAATTATTTGAATAGATCACATTCTCAGCACCTTCAACTGTTGTCACGTTTTATTTTAAAATTTCTTATTCGCGAGTCGCTGAAAATATTACTCCGTATTTATACTCTACAGGTGCTATCAAACCAAAATAATAATTTATTGGTTATATTAATATATTTAATTGTAATCAAAATATAAAGTGTGCACATAGTGTGCATTATCATTTAATAATAGCGTATAATAGATATCAATCATTTTATATGTAGAAGCACTGAAAACTATTTATAAATGGCAACGGTTGTTTACATTTCTCTGTCTTATGGATCTACGTCAAACTTCAAATGCTGTTCCATGTTTGTTTACTTTTTACTTAAAGTTGTTTTTCGATATTTTGGCTGTATTTTGAGTGATATTTGTGAAAAGTGAAATAAAATAAACGAAATATTTACATCCCGATCTCTCATTTCATTTGTAAGTACATACAATTTACATTATTTAAGATGAGGAAATGAGGAAGCGTGTTTGTTTACATTTTAATAGGCGTACCATTGGGTTTATTCCTGTTCATTAATGTATTAAATAAGATGTAAGTTCATGAAATTAGTAGACACTTTTAAATTGTAAGTAGACATCATCTGATTAAAAAAGATCTATTTAGTACCTTTTTAATCTAATATTTCTCATGGATGCAAATAAATTAGTGAAATGAATAAAACTCATTTATTTTTCTATGTAGGTTTCCAAATAATATTGACGATCGAACTATTTTGGTAGCAAATTTAGGAGAAAACATAAAGATTTTTTATTGTAGCATTATTTTGATATCTATTAAAAATTAACTTGAATTCAACTATATTTTATTGTATTAATTTTAAAGCAAATAAAATTGTATTTTAATTTTTCTATAAAGACGTGATTTTTTAATAGTTAAACTCTCGTTTTTTTAAATTCTTTGAACGTGTTTTTATACATTATTACTACTTTCAATTTTTAAAATCTGAATAATTACCCGCGAGTAAAAATTCAAGCACGCTTATGCTCATTGCGGAAGCATCACATTCTATCGAAGCTTCAAAACATTGTGTGTTACAGGTATCTTATTGCTGTGTCCATCTATGTTTATACGTCCATGTTTTTTTCATATTCATTTTTAGACCGACGTATTGGGAGCTACCTGCTAGTTCCCCCATCATAATTTGCAGTTCCTCGAATGTGCTCGCTATAATCACTATGTCGGTTTAACTTGTTGCCATTAACATTAATGCCCCATAGGTTGACCAATTTGTAGTTTTATTTATATTTGTATTTATTCAAGCATTCAACCTTATATCAATTCATAACATAAATGAGCAAACGAACCTCTGAATTCACTTGCTGAATACTTTTGAAACATATATATATATATATATATATATATATATATATATATATATATATATATATATATATATATATAAATATATATAATAAAATTTCAATATGTAAAATATAGATATGAAATACTTACTGGAGTAGACAATATCGATTCGAGAGCTTTTGATATCAGTATCTCAGTTGCTTCTGCATTTGGTAAAGTAATCTTGTCGTTAATAGGCGTTAGATGTTTAGATTTTAATAAACAAGTTCGGCATAAGTCTCTAATATCTCTCAAATCTATAATATATTTTGGTTGTATATCTGGCAACAAAAAGAATATGTTTTAAAAAATTATTCAATTTTAATATATAGTGAAAAAACAACTTAGATATACACTTGAGTGCAAAAAAATCGACTCAAAATTATTTTGCGAAAGTACGTCTCCTGTTTCAATCAGAAAGGTGTAAATTTAAAAATATTTAGTGTACAATTATTAACCTCATTATTGAGTTTGAAAAAAGTTTTGATTTTTTGTAAATCGGATGACGTATTACAAATAAATAATGCAACACGTAGAGAGGGGGTCATAATTTGACCCATTGAAATCGACACGCACCCACTTAACACATTTGGTTAACATCGTAAGCATCAATTTCCATAGCAACCCAATAATACATCAGTCAGTTAAGTTCGTAACTTCATAACAAATGGATACCACATCCATCAAAGCAGCTCAAGCAGTAGCATTATTGAGAGAAGACCTGAGCCAGAGAGCCGTGGCAAATCGACTAAATTTAAGCCAATCTGCTGTGTCCCGAGTATATCGTCGGTACCAAGATACTGGTGATCATGTCCGCAGACAAAGAGGAGGTCGTAAACGAATAACAACAGAGAGACCTTGTATCGATTTCTTGTATCTAAATATCTGAGAAATCGACATTTGACTGGTGCTAATCTCAAATTAGAGCTTAGAGAAGTCCGAGATGTGGTTAACAGCGTTTGGACAGTCAGAAGGAGACTGAAAGCAGCCAACCTGACACCAAAAAGGGCAGCTACTGGTCCTAAGCTAACTGCAGCCCAGAAGCAAAGACGACTAGAATTTGCTCGAGAACATCTGGATTGGGACGACTATCAATGGAGTCAGGTATTATTCTCCGACGAAAGTAGGATCTGCCTACATGGCAACGACAAGAGCCGTCGAGTCTATAGAAGGCTAGGGGAACGATTTGATCAATGTTGTATACGAGAAATTGTGTCATACGGAAGCGGTTCTTGTATGTTTTGGGCAGGCATTTCCGTGGATGGGAAAACCGAGCTGGTTTTCGTGCCTGGTGGGGGACGTGGAGGAGGTTTAACGGCGGATCATTACATCAGACATATTTTGTAGGAACATGTGGTTCCATACGCGGGGTTTATTGATAATGCCTTTATTTTATTGCATGATGTCATACCGCACGAGTCACCACCACCTATCTGACTGAGTTCGGTATACCGACAATAAATTGGCCTGCGTTGAGCCCGGACATAAATCCAATAGAGCATGTTTAGGATGAGCTTAAATGAAGGGTCCGGAGCAGAAATCATGCAAAAAGAACCAATGGAATTGAGAGCTGCGCTTAATGATGAATGGGAAGCAATGCCTCAAAAATTTATTAGAAAAGTCATCCGATCAATGCGAAATCGATTGGAAAGTGTAATTAGGAATAGGGGTGGTATATCAGATACTGAAAAACAAAAAAATTAATTTTGTAATTGATGATTTCTCTGTTCACTACGTCTTTCTTGGGATAGTTCCAATGATGAATAATTGAGAAACTCTGTTCGTATTGCATATTGTTTTTATAATGTTTCTTCCAAATAATGAAATAGCAGTTTTTGTAAGTTCAATAATAAAGTTACTATTTGCACATTACATCTTGTTATTTTCATACTTCTTACATTAAAACAGAAGGTGTAATCTCAAATATCGCTTTTGAGTCGATTGTTTTGCCCTCAAGTGTAGATTACTACTAAAAATTACACAATAACAGAGATAAAAATAATAAAATTATTCTCGGAACAGCATCCTTAAATTAACTTACTTGTTCCTGTAGTATCCGTTAGAGACGGTAAACTAGCAGCCTGTTCTTGTAATTTCTTTAACTTCTCCTTAATATTCTTATTTTCCTGACTCAATCTATTACACTCTTCTTCCAAAGCATCAACTTTAATTACTGGTACACTTAGATCTTTAAGCACTATAGATTTCACAGATCGAGGTTTATAAGATCTATGTTCCGGTGTGTTTTGTTCAAACTCAATCTCGATATTCGAATTATTCCGTCTAAGTTTGGATAATAGGCTTAAATTGGTTTCGATCTCTTGATCCTTAACTGTGGTATCTAAAAAATAGTTTTTTTTTGTTTAAGGATAAGATAAACGTTAAATTTTAAAATATATACAGTCCCTGGTCATATTATTATGACCACCTATGATTTTTTAAAAAATCGACTTCTTCACAACTTTTTGTTTAGAAATTTATTTTGAAATTCAATTTTTTAATGTAAAATGTTTTAATTATAATACATTTAATAACAAACAGCAATAAAACATTTGAGATTACATATTTATATAATTTTTAATATTTTGTTGAACCCCCTTTGACTTTGATTACCGCTTGTACCCGTCTTGGCATACTTTCAAGGCACTTTGCTTCAGTTTTTCGTTGTGGTTCTAATGATATTTTAGTTTTTCAATTAAAACAATTTTGTTTGTGACTTTTTCATTGGAAATTTCCCGTTTAAGAAGTTCCCAAATATTTTGTATGGAATTAAGGTCAAAAGAATTTCCCGGTCAGTCCAAGAGAGGAATACCATTCTCAACCAGGAATTTTTCACTAATTTTGCAGTATGGCATGGTGCTCCATCTTGCATAAATATGCATTCCTCATTAGGAAACCATTCATGTACTTGAGATATCAGTCTATTCTGTCATATTAATATGTATTGATCTTATCGCATTATCCCCTTATCTATTTCAAGTCTATCAAGTCCCTTACAGCTAATGGTAGACCACGCCATTATTTTTGTTGGATGTTTTACAGTTTTAATAACACATTCAGTTAAATACTTTTCTTCTGGTCTTCGTTTAATATATTGAGCTTTCTTCTTCAGATGCAAATCCACTAATCGATGTTAGCGATCACATTTTCCATTAATTCTCTATTTCTTGCAATATGTATCAGAGATTGTATGTCGTTAATCCCTGTCCATTGCCTTATGTTTCGGAGCCAGGACATTTTCTTGCGTCCCATTCCTCTCTTGCCTTCAATTTTACCCTCGATTATAAGTTGGAGGAACTGGTATTTTTCATTTCGCATGATGTGACCTAGATACGCCGTTTTCCTTTTCTTGATGGTTTCGAAAAGTTGGCGTTCTTGGTTTATTCTTTTAAGGACATCTATATTTGTGATTTTCGCTGTCCATGGTATTTTTAGGATACGGCGATAAAGCCACATTTCGAAAGCTTCCAATCTGTTTATATCCCTCGTTTTGAGTGTCCAGCCCTCTACGCCATATAGCAGCACTGACCATACGTAGCACTTAGTAAACCTTAGTCTCAGTTGAAGATCGAACTCAGAACAAGTCAGTACCTTCTTGAATTTTACGAAAGCTTGTCGAGCTTGCTCAATGCGACATTTTACTTCCCTGTCCGATGCCCAGTCTTCAAAAAGCCACGATCCCAGGTATTTAAATTTAGTCACTCTTTCTATGGATTTACTATTCAGTGTTATGGTGGAGTTTTCAAGTGCATCCAAGTTTCTGGAGATGATCATCAATTTGGTCTTTTTGGTATTAATCTCTAGTCCCATTCGCTCACTGTATTCTCCGATTATAGTGACAAGTTGTTGAAGATCGACTATGTTGTCACAAATTAAGACACCATCATCAGCATATCGTATGTTGTTGATCAATACTCCATTCACCTTGATTCCCATCTCTGCATCCTCCAAAGACTCTTGAAATGTGGCTTCCGAATAAATGTTAAATAAAAGAGGGGAAAGCACACATCCCTGTCGAACGCCTCTTCTTATATGTATGGGCTTGGATATAGAATTGTCTATTTTTAGCTGTGCCGTTTGATGCCAGTACAAGTTTTCAATGCATCTTATGTCTTTTTGGTCTATATCAACTTTCTTGAGAATCTGCATTAACTTATGGTGTTGGACACGATCAAACGCTTTTTGGTAATCTAAAAAGCATAGGAACACATCCTTCCTCTGATCGTAACAATTTTGGACCAGTACCTGTGTTGCTACTATTGCTTCTCGTGTTCCTAAACCTTGCCTAAACCCGAACTGGGAATCACTGATGTCCCATTCACATTTTTTGTATAATCTTTGATGTAGTATTTTTAAGAATATCTTTAAAGTGTGACTCATCAGGCTAATGAGTCTGTGATCCTCACATCTTTTTGCATTGACTTTCTTGGGCAGGGGAATAAAGGTAGAGCGTAACAACTGTTGAGGATAGCAGCCAGTTTCATAAATTAAATTAAATATTTTGTGTAGTGCTGAAATTCCCCTTTCATCTAGTAATTTGAGTATTTCTGATGGGATCTCATCTGGTCCAGGTGCCTTATTGTTTTTTGAATTTAATATTGCTTTTTCTATCTCCTCTTTGGTGATTAAAGGGCCAGTCAGCTGGTCGTCTGTATAAACTTCACTCATGGGTCTTTCGTCATGGAAGAGCTCCTGGATATAATTGAGCATATTAACATATTGAGCTTTATTGGTTAATATTTCAAAGGTACTTTCGTCACTGAAGCAAACCTCTTTCCACTGTTCTACAGTAAAGTTATCTTATTTCTTTGCCCAAGCTAGTCTTTTTTTCTTCATATTTTCTGTAAGAAAATTTTTTAGCTGGACGTAGGTTTTTGAGCCCCAACTCCATTAATTTTCGACGCACATACTTGGACAAAAACCTTCGACAAGCTTTTCTGTAATTGTTTTATTTGTTTGTAATCTATCTTTCTTTATAATCTTGACTAAATTTCGCGCCCCACGTGGTGTAAGAACTTGTTTTCTGCCACATTTACCTTTACGTTTCGGTGTTAAGGTCACATCATTCTGCAATTTTCGTGCAATATTTGCCACAGATGTCTTGTAAACTTGGATTTTGGAAGCAATTTGGCGTTGGGAAAGATTTCCATGCATTAAAAGTGCTTTAATTTCACCAATTTTTTAGGTGACAGATCTTTTTTCTTCCCCATGTCTAAAACAAGGGAAAGTTGAAACCCCATTTAAAAAAAACTATTTAAACAAAAAAACCTCAAATTTAAAACAATAGAGTATTAAGTTATAATAATGTTCAGAAAACTTATCAATTGGTAAAAAATTTAAAATAACACTTGTCTTTGTCATTGTCTTTTAAACGCTGCTTGCGGTCCATAGTAAACGGTAGCACAACTGAAAATACGCGCTCTTTCACTAACCTTAGACCTTGACTCGAGAAATGTTTACACTCTTATAAAAGATTTGATGAATAAGGTACTTGAAATGTTAATATTCGTATTAAACCATAATTAAAGTCAATTCGACATATATTAACGCCAGTGGCGGCTTTTCTTTATGTGCTGCTGAGCTGCAGAACTACCAAACAACCATAGCAAATCTTAATTATTAAAGAATAATTAATATAGTTTTATTTCAAATCTGCCATATTATCATATTAAACATAAACTGTTAATAATAATTCACCAACAACGATGATTAATATTATTTTTTTTACGTATTTACTCCTCTAGTGAAACCGTATAATTTTTTTACGTATTTGGTGCTCCAGTGAAGCAATCTTTTTACGTATTTGCTGCTCCAGTGAAGCCGCGTCGATAACAACCGAAACACTGGCAGCGGTTAAAATGCATTTATTAGGCAAACGGCGATCTTAGCCGATGTGCTTCGGCAATCGGCTGATTAACGGCCTCGGAAATGTGTTTGCGAGCTGCAATTCACGACAGTTATTCGTGACCGTTGCATCTGTGCCGTGTTTAGAAATTCTTAGGTTACAATTTTGTTTAATTTGTTTTGTTCGAGCGTGTTTAAAACAATGGAGTTTCAATTTAAATTAGGTGTAAATAAATTTCAAAAACTTCACTATCAACAACAGTTGATTATAAAAGAACGTGGCCGTCCTATGCCTGATCTTAATATTGAAGTGTCCGGTAAAAGCCGTGGAAAAACATATACGCGTAAATTTAATAAAGACATGTATCTACGAAATCAGTGGATTTGTGGATGTTCCGAAAAAAATGCTTTTTTCTGTTTTCCGTGTGCATTATTCGGCGCAGATAAAGAGGAAAAATTGTGGCGCGAGACAGGAGTGCGGGATCTAGTGCATTTAAGTGAAAAAATAAAGAAGCATGAAAACACGCAAACTCATATGAACAATGAAATGCGATTTGCATTATTTGGGAAACTTAATATACAGGCCCAACTTGACTCTGCTTATTGGATAAATATACAAAAACACAATGAAGAGGTGACGAAAAACAGGTATGTTTTGTCAAAAATAATTGACTGTATAAAATTCTGTGGGGCTTTTGAGCTCGCCTTACGAGGACACGATGAATCTGAAACATCAGATAACCCTGGAATTTTTCGTGGTTTTAGTGAATTTTTCTGCTGAACTTGATAAAACACTTAGTGAACACCTTACAAATGCGACAATTTTCAAAGGTACCTCAAAAACAATACAAAATGATATTTTGGATTGCATGCTAGAAGTATACGCTGAGGAGATTTTAAACGAAATCAATGAAGCCCCATTTTTAGCAGTGATAGCTGATGAGACAACGGATGTTTCTATGAAATTTCAAATGGTCATTGTTTTTCGTTATGTAAAAAACGGTGCTCCAGTTGAAAGGTTTTGGACTTTTTGCTTCCAGAAAAACATGATGCTGAAACCTTAGCTAACACAATTTTGAATGTTTTAGACCCAATATTAAAGAATAACAAAAATAAGCTCATTGCACAAAGTTATGACGGAGCAGCTGTTATGAGTGGGATACATGGCGGAGTGCAAACAATAATTAAGAGAAAATATGAAACTGCTCATTTTGTGCACTGTTACGCCCATCAATTGAATCTAATAATGTCAAGAGCATGTTCTATTAATTCCCAAGTACGCGTATTTTTTTGGAGATTTACATGATATACCTGGATTTTTTAGTCATTCACCTCAAAGAATAGCTGTCTTAAATCAAATAGTTGGAAAAAATATTCCTCGTTCAATCCCTACACGCTGGAATTTCAATATTCGTACAGTAAATGTCGTTTACGAATATAGAGACTTTATTATTGAGTGTATGGAGCAACTAGAAGAAGAGTCAAATGCTATTACTT